ACTCGTTATACCTCATACATACATCATACCTCATACATCCCTTTTCTTATGAGATCTTTTGTTTCACTCTATATTTAGAAACAAGAAGACCGTAAAGAACTACTGTAATCAAGGTTTAAAAGATATTTCATTGATAAATGTAATCTACAAGTGAGAAGGGGGGAAAATCAATATCCTGAGTACAATTTTATCATTTAAACAATGTTTCTAGTTATTCTTAACAGTGAATGCTATGAGATACAAATAAAAAGAAAGTTATGAATACAGCAGTTTGTAACTGGATAAAATGTAACAGACAGTATATTATTAAATCATTTCTTGCCTGATTATATTTATTATATATATTAAATATTATGTTTTAACTAATAATATTTCTGATAAGCTTACTATTATTGTATAATAGAATAAAATAACAACAAAAGAATAGAATAGTTTTTAATATAACAGCATAAATTTAAGTTAATAAATTTAAGAATACAAAAATAATAGGAAAAAAAAAACAGTAAAATTATTAAACATGTTAAACACATAACATAAATGTCAGTCAGAACATCATAATTTAAATTAATGCACATAATATGGGAATAATAATTAATAGATTTTAGATAAATGCAGTGAGTACGGTTACAGACATTATTTAAGAAAATTTAGATAATTTTCAAGTGAAAACATCACAAGATTAATGTTTATGATCTTTCTAAGATGTACTGTACACAAGGATTGATTGATGAATAATGTCTCTATTTTTATTAAATTAATTTGGAAAGAGTTGTATTAATAATAATGTGATCAGTTGCAAGAAATAATAATAGATCCTTTATTTTAATCATACATATTCATTTTGCGACATAATCACCATTTAGAATGACATGTTTTCTGAGATTTTTAATCCATTTATGCATTAAAAAAACATTCTAGACTTTCCTTGATCCATTCCCAGATAGCAGTTTGGACTTAAGCATCCAATGACAAGCATTGACTTTATAATGCTTTTTCTTTAAATTTTTGGAACAATCAGAAGTTCAGTGATGTCAGATCTCAACTGTGAGGAGGATGTGGAATAACCCATAGCTAGGATTTTGAGTATCTTTGTTGTTTGCTGTTTTTGCATTAACACAGTGGTTCTGAACCTTTTTTGTTGATGTATCCCATTAGCCCATTAGTTGTTTCTCAAGTATACCTTATATTTTTGTATGTAAATTTTATAATTACTGCGTTAGATGTATACAGCTTTTATAACTGAGCACCGTAAAAAAGCTCTAATTAACTAACTATAACTAAAAGTGAATTACTTATTTTATGTAAATAGTAGTAAATTTAATCAGGTACAGTACATACCTTTATTATTATTTGATAAGTATATTATATAAAATCACAGAAGTCATTTCAATACATGCATAAATTACACTTCCTAAAAATAAATAATTATAATTAACAATAAAGAAAATTTAAATTATTCTACAATAATTTCTAACAAAATTTAATGGGATATTTGTTGCNTAATGGCTGCAAATTTATAATGTGCAATGAATCTTTCAATTTTTGTAACAAATGTAACGTCTAAATTTGCTAAATATCAAGTAATGCGCACATGCAGTGACACGCATTGCATGGTGGGGGTACAATCCAGGCCTCGTTATTCCTAATACCAGTAGTTCGGTAAAAACACAAAAAGCCCCAAATTGAGCAATAATTATAGAATAGAGAAAAAAATTTTTTTCTATTCTAAAATTAATGCTTGGTTAAACCGTAATTTTACTAGAGTACAGGTTCACTCGGCACTAATGGCACAAATAGACAGGCAAATCAAGTGGATAAACAAATTGTTTAGACTGTTAAAAGGGAAATCAGTGTTCACACTGGGATATTTTAAAGCAAGTTTTTGTCATTTCTTGTTTCTTGTGTTAATAATTTACAGCAAATTGATTAATGTGTGCCATTTTATAATGAAAGTTAGATGTACCCCTCCGATTTACGTTCGTACCCCTAGGGGTAAATGTACCCCCAGTTGAGAACCACTGCATTAACATAATGCAAGAAAAAGATGTTCTTTTTTTCTGATCTTTATCTACAAATAAACCTTTTAAGTTCTCATAACGTTTCATAATACTTTACCAGATTGATTATTTCTTCTTTTGCCAAGCAAAGAATTAAATCACTAGTTGCTGCTTTGTATGAAATATAGTAGGGCAACAAAACAAATTAATGTTGTGCACATAGATTAGACATTCATTGCTACTAAATGTTTGGTGGTTATGTATTTCTACCTATATACTTTATGGAACAATACAATAGTTCTAACATATCATTAAACTCTCAAATTTCACTAATTTTGTAACTTTTTTGTCTATGACTGTGGAATGTTGGGCTTCTAGATGTATCAGCAACTTACAAATAGTAGCTTCAATACGAAACTAGAACTTGGTTGGAAGAGGATTAAATAATTCCTGAAAGAAAGCTTCGCTGCAATTTTCTAACCATTTAATTGCATTTTTTTTTAACTCTCTCTCTCTTCTCTGTGGGCACTACAGGATTTTTTAACAAGCCCATTATAGGTTTGGTTAGGCCCGCAACAGGGTAGCCAGGTGGTGAGAGCTATAGTCCGATATAGCCAGATAAACCCCTCAAAATTCCTAGGGATCTATCCTCAAAATCTATCTGGATTTGATTCCAGGTTCCCAGAGATGCCACCCTAACTGCTCAGCCTATCATTTAGATATATTAACACACAACATATCTAAACTTTTTTAAGAATCTTTATATATTTTCACCTGTCAAATTATTCACACATTCACAGCTATCCACATATTATTATTATTCAATGGTTAGTAACTTAATTATGACATTCTAATTTATCTATCAATTTTTATCATAGGTTGTTTAACATAATAAAAAAATATTATTATTATAATAACCAGGATAAGAATCCTGGTTATTATAATAATAATATGTTTTTTAAAATCTTTATGCTACTTTTAAAATAAAAGATAATACCAGAAGTTTTTTAAAAGTTAAGAGACATTTTATTGATGTTTAATTTCAATTAACTGTTTTAAATTTAGTTAAGAAATTTTATTTGGTACATAAAATATCTTTTCTATATAATAGATGATAATTAAGATTCAAATATGAAATAAATTGTGTCTTATACATAAAAATCACTAGTTTTTAATGAATAAGTTGCTTCGTTAATGGCTTATGGACACATTATTCATATGTGCAAACAAGCTATTTAGAAGTTACAGAATTAAAACAGAACATAAATACATAAATTAACATAAGAATCATACAATTTGTAGTTTTGTTTGGCCCATTTTGAATGTTTAATACATCTAGCATTGTTACTTCAAAGATATTTTATACAATGTTAAACAAGATTATATTTGAATATTGAAAAGGATTATATTTAATATGGTTTGTTATTTTTAGTTTTTAAACTATAAGCAGTTAATAGTTTATACACAAATGTGATAAATATAAAATCTGCCTGCATTATTTGGATATTAAATGTTATGTTTGTGTATTAAACCTTTATTTTAAATACATATTTTTTAACTCTGCTCTTTGGATACCAAGAGGACTTTTTTCAGGCCCATATTGAGTGAGGCAAAGCACATAATGGGGCAACCAGGTGACGAAGGACAGGGCCCAAAAAAATCCTGGGATTTTTCAACTGCCTAGATTTGAACCTTCAAATTTTGATTAAATGTTGTAGAAAATAACATAAAAGTAAATATTGGATTTAGTAGGGGAGGAAATTGAAAAGTGAAATTCTATTAACTGAAGAGCAGGAATTCTGTTTTAGAGAGCAATTGTCAATTTATATAGAATGGCAGCTATTTATTTTTAATGTTTTTATTTTGTTTAAATGCTAACCTGGTTTCATTTTTTGCCTAAAATCTCATCATTAATATTGGAAAATTTGGAGAAGAGGAAAATTAAAATGTATTTTCTAAAGTCTCTGATGTTTGAAATGAAATTTAGTTGTTAAAAAAATGCAATAATAAATTGATGACTGGAAATAATTAGTGTAAGATTTCACACTATATTAAATTCTTTATTAGCAGTAATTAAGTTTTAAAAATTAATAATTGTTAAATCTTCTGTTCTTAAATAATAGATTTTAATTATCAGTTTTAAAGTAATTAATTCTAATTAAGATAATTACATGTTAAATGCTATATGTATAAGGTCTTATACTTATAAAATGAATGCTACCTATTTAAATTATTGTGATTATGTTGTTATCTGAGAAGTACGTGATGTACAGTATGCCAATCAATAGAGTAACCGTTTGAGTTTCATCTCCCATCTGTGCTCAAATATCTTGTAGTCTACTGTCTCTAGAAAGCATGATAAACAAAAATGTGACTCCACAACAAGAAGGTGGTTTGTACAGAGTATTCTGCAGTTTGGAAAGCCAGAATCACTCATCATTGTGCAATATGACTAATCTGTAGGAGCTATGGGAGGAGTGACAATGGATATGCTATAACAAATACAGTAATACCCCGAACTTACGCGATAGGTGGGACCGAGCGATAACCGCGTAAGTCGGGGTATAATTTTGAAATTTACTTAAAATTCAAGTCAGTTGTATATAAGCTAATAAATGTTCTCGTTAATCTTATCTTGTCTTTAGATTCGTTCACGGTTACAAGAAATTACCACATAGAGTCTCTTGAGTCTCCGTAGATATAACAAACACAGAAATAAANATTCGATAAATGGAGTATCCCGATTGTTACTTATGCCTACTCCAGGAAACATTTAGGTTTTTGCAATACGTTGGATTATCTGGGATAATCCCTAATAGAAGTTGCAGGCACGCCAAATCGAAAAGTTTCCACGAGAGGAGAATTTGGCAGTTTTTTATTACCGTCTTCCACATAATAATAACTGTTCACATGTTAACATTGATTATCTTGTATTATGGATTTAAAATTAACGTACCCCATATGCAATTCATTAAAAAAGCGCACGGTCAACCCGGTGAAATCTTTTCTTTAACATTATCCGCGTGTTGCTGCTACAATGCTTCTCTCCTCACCATGTTCAACTTCTGGAAGGATCGAAAAAAGGCCACCGAAACCATCTCGGAAATGTGGAATGAAAATTCGACACGATCGAATAAAGAATTCAAGAAAATCTTCCTCGTCCAGAAGATTATCTATCGAGTAATTACTCCATCTTTGCAGATTTTTTGCATATTTTGCATGATATTTCTCATTTATCGATGCTATCACATAGCTATCGGCTATCTTGGTTTGTACGTCACAGGATTCTACATAATAATAATTTTTTTGGCTTGCACACAAGGGTTAAATCTCTTTATCGGTCAAGTTACTTATTTCTTCGTTACCACTGAAATTATCAGGAAGAAATTCTCAAGAATCGTACACGAGCTGCGGGATCTTCTGAATAGAAAATATGATTACGAAGATTTCAAGAGTATTCAAGCCGAGCACAATGTAATATGCAAAATGGTCATAGTTTTAGATGGTTTCTTCAACAAATATATCTTTCTGGCTTATTGTCTCTTTCTTCCCGCCATTTGCTTCAATACTCATTTTCTTATCTTCTCCAATAGTCTTGGAGAATTAGCATTGTCCATGGGCTATTCAAATTGCTTGTTGGTTACAACTGTACTCATCATCACTCTTACTTGCGAAGCTCTTACTAACGAGGTAACCACGTTTGAAATGTTACTTTAACTCTGACGTAATGAGAAATTTTTAATGTAAATCTAATTTTTGCAATGTTATTCTTAGAGTATACGACCTCGAGATGTTTTACACGAGTTGGCTTTGTTCGAACTGCATTCAAAGATTCGACTTCAGGTAAAAATTTAGGAATTTTTATGTAAATTGCTTAGGTGATAATCATGTGTCGCAAGTTTATATACTATAAACAATTGGCATGTTTGTTAACAATTGAAACAGGTCGTAAACACTAAGATTTTAGGGATCATCTGTTAGGTGTGCACACTACTGGGAATCTCAGAGTTCTGTACATTGTACACGAGTATTAGTGGCTTACAAAATTGTTCTTGTTTGTATATGCTTAGCTTATTCAAATAATTAATAATTATCAGAAAATATTTACATAACTTTTTCAAGTCATTTCTTCATCCACCAATGGCCAAGTGGATAAAACCATCGAACATTGTCGTAAGTTCGCGCCAATCCAAAGACTGGCCGCGTGCAGTTTTCCAGATATTTTTCACTTTTTAACACCTAAATTGGGGCCAGTTTCCCACAGAAAGTCGTCCTAGGAATATTGCATTAATATATATATACAATTAGAGTTTTTATTAAGATTAAATTCAATAAAATTTTAAAAGATTTTATATGAAAACATGTTTTGTAACAGTTAAAATAAAATGAAAATTGATCAGATAAATTTTCCAAACTAGCAAATATTGTTTTAACGTCTTTCAAATGTTCAAAAAGTTTTCTTAGTGATGAAATAAAATGATTTCAGCTAATTAAATGGTTGGTTTATTTTAACTAGTTTGGAGAATTTAAAAAAAGTAATTTTTAGTTTATTTATAAATTTGAAACAAACTCGCTTTGTTTTTACAGAAGTATCAGTATTATTCACACACAACAACATTGTTTTGGTCTTAATTAAATAATTTCCAAACAGAATCAAACAATAAAAGATCAATGTACTGAAGAATTAGTTCATTTACAGGAAATTAAATACCTAATCTGAACTAATACTAGAAATTATCTTTATTCAGGAATATGCCCAAACATCATTTATGCTAAATTAATTTGCAGGAAATGATAAATATGTAAGCAATGTTAATAAAATGATTATTTTAATGAAAGCATTTCGGAACTTCAATAAAATATGCATGCTGTTAAATATAACAACAAATTTAAGTTTGGAGTTTACCCTAATAAGTGTTTACCTTAAGCACTTTTAGTACCAAACCCAAAATGGGCTTTGAGCCCAAAAGTGCTCGAGATAAACAGTTTGTAAGGCTCTTGTGTGTATGTCTTTATTTGCATAAGAGATTTGCACAGATAAATGGTGTACAGGTACAAGTCTCGTATGTGCCCTTTGGGCTTTGATGCCTGAAACTACTTATATTTAAAAAAAAAAACTTGCAAGTTGATTTTCGTTACACATCTTGTCTTCATCTTTTGTTATTAAACTAAACTGTGTCAGCTGTATTTACAACTGGCACAGTTTAGTTTAAAGGCTCTTCTNAACCACTTACAATCACTAGGATCCAGGATATGGCAACAGGGTGATTGCCCTATTGAGATTTTTTTCGTTGTTAACACCAAATTTACTATTTCTATAAAATAATAAAATACATTGTTACTACTATTCAATTTTGTAGAAAGTTTATGTAGTATATTTTAATATTAAAGCAATAAAACTTTTGTATGTTATTTATTTTATTACACGAATTAACACGAATAATCTCCTCCTCAAGATTAGATTCTTGATCCATCCGACTCCGCTGCCCTGGGATTCCTGTTAAATGTATTATCAAACACACTTATTAAAATAAATTATAAATACATTCCTGCTCAGTGGTGCGTTATGCTATGGGCAAAGAGGGCAATTGCCTTGGGCCCTCACCAACATGGTGCCCCAACCAGGCTTACTATAGGGCACGGGTCCTCAAGAAAGGCCGGACGGCCCTAGTGGTCAAGGTGGCAGCTTACCACTCTGGGAGGCCCTGGTTCGAATCCGGATGGGTCGATAAATCTGAAAAATATTTCTGGGGTGGTCCGTCCGGATATGTCGGGCCCCGTCCCTCACCACCCGGCCGCCTCATTGTGGGTCTGGCCGATTCCATATGGGCTTTCTAGTGGAGACGCTCTTACTGCCCACAGGCCGGAAAGAGTTTAAAAAGAAGAGTCCTCAAGAAGGCGCACCATAAGTGTTATAAGTGAGCAGTAATATCTAAAATTGATTCAAACTATACTTATTCCTTCATATATTTATCACTAGTAATTTTGTTGGTGGCAATCATTAACAAATAACTTATGGACAGCAGAAAAAAACAGTTGGGTATGGACACACTGAAAGCCATGATTAATTATTGCAATGTACTGTACAATATGATAAAATCGTGAAGATTTTAGAAATGAAATGTACACCAGATACAATTTTGAAAATTCCATACTATGGAAAAATATTAGTGCAATACCAAAATGACAAAATTATATTCTTATTTTACTTTCATGGCTGTTATATATAGCAGAAGGAAAGTATGGCGTTGGTGTTTTTTCTAACTCAATTCTCACAAAGAAAACACGCACAAGAGAGAAGCGAGAAATCTCACTGGCGTGAGCGAATTTCTGGTTCTCACACATATCTGACAGGGTTTGATATTTATTGCGTCTTGCCTCTTCTCGCCACATACTCTCGCTCGCTTGCGTCTACATAGACCTCTTTTTAACAAGCCCATTATGGGTTCGGCCAGGCCCACAATGGGGTGTCCGGGTGGTGAGGGACGGGGCCCGACATATCCAGATGGACCACCCCCGAAAAATTCGGGGAATATTTCGAACCCGGGCCCCCAGAGCAGTAGGTGCCACCTTGATCGCTCGGCCATCCGGCCTCCTTTCCGAGTAAGTATCAATTAGAACTGACTTTATAGGAATATCAATTTATCCCTGAAAATGGTAAGTAATTTTCAATAATGTATTATTTTTATCATAAATATAATTATTTAAAATTAATGTACTTACATTACATAATAGTTTATATTGTTTTTCTTGCTATTGTTTAGTTTTAGT